ACATTACAGAAAAACACAAGGAAGAAAATAAATAATCCGTAATACCACTATTAGGATACCTACTTTTTTTTTTTTTTATAGCTGAGCCATCCTGCCACCTGTTGGCAGCTCAGCAGCAGCTCAGCTCGGGCCGGGACTCAAACCGCTGTTGCTCAGAGCTCGCACTCTTGAGCGAGCTTTTAACCAACTGAGCCACTTGGCCGGCCCTAGGATACCTACTTTTAACATATTGTTACAGATTTTTCTGTGTACCTGTAAAAATACTAAATACATTTTTATTTGTTTGCTTTATAAAATAGGACTGTATAATATTTATATTATAACCTTTAAAAAGCTATTTTTAAATGGAAGTAGAAACTTATTCTTACAGAGAATTGATATAAGGTAAAAATCTTGGCAGCATATGCACTATTAATCTTGCCATCCTCAGGGGATGGGCTCACTGAAGTTGGTAGGTCAGTACAGTGGGGGGGGTCAGCTCTTGAGCCAGGAGAGAGAAGGAAGTATGATGCTCAAAGGCAGCCACTCCTAGAGACAAGGGCAGTGTTGTCTGGTGGGCTGTATCCTAGGAGAGCATTGAGAGGTGGCATTTACTAAATAGCTCAGTTGAAATTATTAGCATGAATTCAAGAGATTGAGTAAATCATTGGAAACAGAATAAGGTTGATGGGAAAAGAGAGTGATAGGTAGTCAATTCATCAGGAGACTCAGTCATTATCTCATTTTCTGTTTCTAGGAGAGAAGCCTTTCCTTTGTGAAGCCCAAGGATGTGGCCGTTCCTTTGCTGAGTATTCTAGCCTCCGAAAACATTTGGTGGTTCACTCAGGTACTAGAACCTGTGACATTCATAGATTTTAGGGAAGGTGGAGAGCCAAAAGGGTAAAAGGGTGAAGGAGTGCTATAAAGAAAGAAATCTAGAAAGAAACAAACTGTTCACCATAAAGCTTCCTCTTTATCATGACAGAATCAGAAATCAAAGCCCTTGATAATTGTATTCAAAGGGTCATATATCAAAGGGGAAAAATCTAATTGTTATTATTTTCAGCTGAGCCATTGAACTGCTTTCTAACCTAGATATTTTTCTGAGGAGATCAGCAAATTTATTTGGCACTATGCTGGGTGCCTTGTAAGTTATATCAGATATGGGCGATGGAGGTTAATTCAGAGCAGAGACTTACCAAGACAGAAGAGAACTCAAGAGTGGCGAGATTCTAGGGTGGAATCAGGTTCAAATGGCTAGCCATGGGAAGCAAAGGGAAACCAGAACAAGAGGTGTGGGAGAGAAGGAACTAGAAGTTGTGACAGCAAAGCAGTTCAGTGGGTGCAAGGGAGTTGGAGAGGTGTCATCAATCAGGGATATGAATTTCACAGTTGAGATCCTAGAGGTGGAACAGTTTTTCATATGACAAGTTCTAAGCAGAGGTGGCAAACCGATAGCCTGCAGGTTAGATATGTTTTGCTTGGCTTATAGAGTGTTTTTTTTTTAATTGTACTTTATACCATTACATAAAATTTTGTCAAAAATACATAAAAGTAGAGAAAATAAACATTTTCTTATATAACAACAATGCTAGTGTCTTAACCTATCAAAATTAACAGTAATTCCTTGGTTTTATTTCATACCCAGGCCGTGCTTCGTTTTTTCCATTTCTCAAAAATGTCTTTTAAAGTGGGTTAGTTTAAATTAGGATCCAGCAAGGTCCATTCCTGCACTTGGTTAGTAAGTCTCCTTGAATCGAGACCTGTCTACACTCACTTTTTTTTCATGCCACAGACTTGTTACACAACAGAGACGGACAGGTCCTGTAGAATGTCCCACATTCTGGATTTATTGGTTTGCTTTTACGTCATTTAACGTGTTTCCCTATATTTCCTATAAATGGAAGTAAGCCCTAAATTCTGTAAAGGATCAAGGATATGTTACAGGTGATTCGATGTGCTTCATTTTGTGTTGCATCAATAGAGACTCAGTGCTTGGTTGTCAGAATTGATCAGTGGGTTCAGATGGTAACAGGCTGATCCTCACATTGTAAAGCTCCCTAGCAAACGATCGCATTATGGTTTCATCTCTGAATGATGCCCGAATCCATTATTTCCTTAGGATCGTAAAATGGTGGTTTTTCTAATTCTATTATTCCATTCACATTTATTAGCTGGAATTTTTCTGTACAATGCATTTCTTCTCTGTCAACTAGAGCTATTTGGTAATTTGTACAGGAAAGACAGGATTAATGTATAATTCTTTTCTTGTGAGTTTTTAGAGTAAGAAATTGGTACTGTGGTTTCTTCTAGTAGTTTCAGATAAGTGACATTTTCATTGCTTTTTCTCTCTCATTAGTATTAGTTTGAATTCATAGGTTTCTGTATTTTCACTGTATTCCCCACCTTGCTGCCAAATCTCATCTCTTATGACTCATTTTTCTCATTTAGCTTTGTCCACACTGGTCTCCGTATTTCAGTGCATTGCTGTTATTTTTTAACAGCCTTTTTTTTTTTTAATTTTATTGTTAGTTTCAGGTGTACAGAATGCAATAGTTATCCTTTTCACCCCTCACAAAGTAACAACCCCTCTTCCCCATTAACAGCTTTTTTGATGTATAATGCATATATCTTAAAAGTCACCCATTGTCAATGTACAAATCGGTGATTTTTAGGAAATATACAGAATTGTACAGTCATCACCATAATCCAATTTTAGAACACTTCCATCGCGCCAAAAAGTTCCTTTGCGCACCTTTTGCTGTCAGTTCTTGCTCCTATCCCCAGATCCAGGCAACCACCTGTAAGTTTTCTGTTTCTGTAGATTTGCCTTTTCTGAAAATGTTCTGGCCATTTCACTTACTTTGGTTAGTTACTACTAGTGCCCTGTAGAATTTTTGACGCCTGCTGTAAGTGTGGTTGTCTGGGTAGGTGGGATGGAGACTGTGCATGTTGGACTTGAGGACACTTCAGATCATTGTGTAGAAGACCCACCAGTGTGAATGCTGAAGGCTGTGAGAATGGTGGCAGGAAATAGGATAAGAGGATATTATGGACCCAGGGTTGGAATCCTGGAAGATGGTACATCTCCTAAAGATCCATGGAAGGCTCTGTCTGAAAAGGGAAGTAAATATTGTGTTTGGCTTCCACGGTCTTATACGAAAGATGTGGTTTTGTGAAGGCAGCAGTAGTGTAGGTCTGGAAAGGACTGGGGGCTGGGAACACTAAGCATGCTAAGCCTTCCTGGTGCACTTTTCCTGCCTTTGACCTGTGTACTGAAGGTTGAAAGGCTGGGGGGAGGTGCAGAGTGTGAGAAATAGCAGGTCCTTAGGTTTAGTTTAACACTCTCTGGGCTTCTCCATCTAGTCCTGGAGTTCATTCTCTTGCTGTCAGAAATGTACCTCGTCATTTGTCTCCCCTGTCTTAACCTGGTCCCTGTTTCAGGAGAGAAACCTCATCAGTGTCAAGTCTGTGGGAAGACCTTCTCTCAAAGTGGGAGCAGGAATGTGCACATGAGAAAGCATCACTTGCAGATGGGAGCTGCTAGGAGTCAAGAGCAGGAGCAAACTGGTGAGGAGAGAGGCTATCGTGGAGGGCTGTATTTTCTGGGTTCAAAAAGCCAAATAACTGGCCTGCCTGGTTATCAGGAAATTTGATGAATCTGTTTTGGGTAGAGACCTGGTCTTATTTGATAGGCTAGTGGTTTTGAAATGTAGCTGTACAAGTAAAATCATCTGTAAGTTTTTAAAACACGTGTATTCATATTGCTTGTCCACTCTCCCCCTCAAACAAAACAGACCTGATAAATGAGATTATTTAGGAGTAAGATCCCAGAATTTGTAGTTTTAAAAGTTCCCCTATGAGTTTGATGGTAACTAGTGTTGATCCATGAACCAGCATTTGAGCATCACTGTGATAAAGATTTCTGTGTGACTAGAGTTTAGGCATTTTGTACTTATCAATCATGATTTCCTTTTTACTCTAACTCAAATTTGATAACTTTTTATTATTCCTTTTCTATGTCTTTCCTTAGTCAATTATTTCACTCCAAATACTCCTTTTTAAGGATCTACCCATCCCATTTCATGTGCTAATTATCCGGATGCTGATCACAAGCAAAGATGTTTATCCAAGAGGTTCAACCCTTCCCTTCTAGGCTTATCCTTGCTTCCTAAAAGTAGGTGAAACAGGAGGTGGTATCCAAGATACAGGTTAACGTCTAGTTCTGAAAGAAAATGGGGACCAGGCACAGCCTTGATGTCTGTATGTCTGTATGTCTCTCACATCCTGTTCTTTGTGCAGCTGAGCCACTAATGGGCAGTAGTTTGCTTGAAGAGGCTTCAGTACCCAGTAAAAACCTGGTGTCTATGAATTCCCAGTCCAGCCTTGACGGAGAGTCCTTGAACCTACCAAATACCAATTCTATCCTAGGAGTTGATGATGGTAAGAATTTCACCTCTCCTTTATTTGGGGGAAATGGGCTACAGCTAGGGAGTAAGGAATCGGGTTGTCTCCAAAATGGAGGTTTTAATTAATTTCATTTCTTGTGAGTAGCTGTGGTATGAATGAGTAGCCTTTGTGTTCTTTGTCTTCTGGAGTGGATAAGTGAATTTATGGGAAAAAAAAATTCATTGAAAAAATGATGTAACAAAAGAATAAAGAGAAAAATTTTAAAGAGTAATCCTAGCATCCTAGCCCAACTATTTTTATCTTTCCTGTTGCAGTTATGGAAGAACTTAACTTTTAAAACATTTAAACAGAACATAACCAGGTTTTACAGAGGAGATATAAAGCAATTTCTCCATACCTTCAAAAGCCATATCTTCTGGAGAAAATAAAGGGCTCTCTAGGAAACAGTTGCTCCTCTCTGGTATAGAAATTTCACCCAAGTTACACAGGCCAGGCCCTCTTCTCTGAAAAACTTAACAGGTGAGGTCAGCATGCATTTGTTCAGTGCCTACTCTGTGCCTGGCACCATGGGAAAGATAAAAGTAGAAGACAGGGACCTCAAAATTAGTTGAGAAGCCAAAACTTACATATGGGAAACAACATTGAGTGAATAGAAGAAGTATATAAGCAAACGTTAAATTATGTGGCGTAATTCAGAAGAGCAGAATAAGCTAAAAAGCCCCTAGAAGAAACTTTTAATATATTTGAGGACTAAGTGGTTTATGTATAAACTATTTCCAGAAGATCTTCATGGTGATCCCGCTGGTAAACATTTAATAAGTTTGAGATCTATGTTTTAGTTACTCATCTCTTACTCATTCAGTTTGGGGCATAAATGACCATATTTCTGTAACATGGAACCAACAAGGCCCAGAGTGCGCTCCACAATAAGCCTCCTCTGTTTCATGAGTGGTAACTGGTGGTTAACTGAAGCATGAGGCACAGAAACTGCATGGAGCTATTATACTTTTGCCAGCCTTAAAGAAGAAAGTCTCAAGGGAGGAAGGGTCACTGAGTAGGAACTTTGAAGTTAAATTTAAGTTCTTGACCTGCGCATACTGTGCTATTTGTATCATTGGTGGCTGCTTTAAGAGTTGGCTCTGGTTTCCGGATTGGCCTACCAAAGCAGCTTTTACCCTGTTTCACACAGTTTTAACCCAGGTAAAAGTGCTAAAGCTGTATTACTCTAAATTGGTGTATTGAAAAATGGTCAGCTACTATATCAAGATTGTTTACCTTTTCTCCCCATCTCCCTTTTGTAATACTTTCCGAATTCACTGATAAGGATTATAAGATAGGAATTATTTTGGAAGAAATACAGGAACGTGGGATTCAGTTTTTCAGGGAACAGTTTTTAGAGTTCTCAGTAAGAGGTTTGATAATGCAGGTAGGTATATCTATGAATTCACTTTTCATTGAAACGTTTTTTTGCTGTTTCACAGAGGTGCTTGCTGAAGGATCCCCACGTCCCCTGTCTTCAGTGCCTGATGTGACACATCACTTGGTGACCATGCAGTCAGGGAGGCAATCCTATGAGGTTTCTGTCTTAACTGCCGTAAACCCACAGGAGGTAAAACCGTCTCTTGCCTTTACTTTGTTCCTGTAGACTAATGTGGAAAGTGATTGGGAATCTACCTTAGAGGATCTGAAAAATTCTCCAATTTCAATTTCCTGGAAACTTTGAGTAGAGTATCTTCCTGTAAGCTAAACGTGAGTCCAGTTTTGAAAGGAGCCTGAGTGTTAGGGTCTTTTGAATTTGGAGATTGGTTAGTTATAGCTGAGACTCTCAGCTTTAATTTTCTGAATACACATGCCTCAATGAATATCTGCTCCTACTGTTCTCTGCCTCATTATGAGATGAGTTTGCAGCTTTTATAAAGAAAATAACATTCTGGGACAAAGTGGTCCTTGAGCAAAAAAGGTAGTGACAAAATAATACAAAACAAAACCATTGTTCATTTTGCTAGGATCATACATCTGAGAGAACCAGGATGAACCAACTAGGCATATAGAAAAGTAAAAGTGTTCACTAGCTTATTGAATGAGAACCATCATCTAAATCAAAGATGGATTTTAGGTTGATTCTAAGGCCTCACAACTTTATGGTCTTGGCTCTGACCCAGAAAACCATCAGGCTTCTAGAATCTTAGGATAGTTATTGGCCTTCTGTCATAGGAGTAGGTGACTTCATCATGAGTTCATTTCACATGTGTAAGCTTTTGCCAAAACCTGTGTGTCCTGGATCACTTCAGTATTATAGTATCTTACACAGTGCTCTCCCATCTTTACCCCCTTCCTTTCTTTTTTTAAAGATTTTTTTTATTGGGGAATTGGGAGATGGGAATAGACAAGTTGCTGTCTTTTTGTTCTTCAGTTTAGTTGTGGAGGACGTTGCTTCACTGGCCCAAGTTGGCACCATCATTGCGCTCTTCCTGGGTGAGGCACATCAGTTGCCAGCTTCTGGACAGCCGCTCACTGTGGCTGCTGGCCGCTCACGCTGGCTGCTGGCTACATACGGTAGCCCATAGCAACCCACTGCCACAGGGGCTGCAGCCTACGCCGTCGCCAGCGACTCACAGCAGCCCAGCTCCAGGTTGAGCTGTTGTTCAGCATCTTGGCTGTAGAGGGCAGGGATGGAGACTGTGCATGTTGGACTTGAGGACA